CACACACACACACACACACACACACACACACACACACATTTTTGCAACAAAGTGAGGAATTTTATAATTCCATGAACTCCATGAAAGCATCATTTTGTATGGTGTATCCAAACACCTTTAGCCTTCTGTGGCTGTGATTTCTCAATATTTTTGTCACACAATGCCTCCTTGTACCACTAAGCTCAACATGTGAGTGAAGCATCCTTTTTTGGTGTTTCAGTGATCATGTGATGTTGTCTTTGGACTGTCTTCAACTACACCCTGTGTGTCAATGAGCACTTCGTCTAATGTCCAAGGGGATGAGGACTGTATGGTCCCACCCAGTCTGCATCCAAAGCATCAGAATAAACCACATTAAGTCTCAGTTCTTCCAAATGAATACAGACCTCGGGAAAGAACAAGTCAGACAGGTACTGTAGGTAGGACTTAAAATATGGGGAAAGCAGATCTTCTTGCTAATAACTGACCTACAAGGTCTGTGGGGAAGGCAGATCTTCTTGCTAATAACTGACCTACAAGGTCCGTGGTATAATTAGGGAAATCTGTAGTCCAGGCCTCCATATTCAAGGCTACTATATGGCCTGTAATGTCACCCCTACTCATCTCCTGACAAGGACAAGAAATAAATACAAATGGGTACAGGCCCGCAATGACAGAAACAAGAGTACTGTACCAGAGATCTACCTTAAGGGGCCCCTTTCACAGGGGGCAGCTCTTTGCATTCATGAGGTATGCACAGGCAAGGATAGTTTTTCAGTGACTATCTGTGAATTGCACAGTGGCTGTACATATAAGACACCAGGTATAGTTGGAAAAGGTTAGAAAATCCATAGTAATTTCCATAATAGCTATATTAATTTGTATCACTATCAACAGAGTTTAAGAATATTAAGTATATTATGGATTTTCCACATCCTCTCATATTGTTTCATAATAGCCATTCTGACTGGGGTACTGTAGTATTTCAAAGTGCTTTTAGTTTTCATTCTCTGATGGTTATGAATATTTAACATATTTAAGATAGTTATGGACCATTCATGTTTCCTTTTAAAGAAATTGTCCTCAATTCAATGGTCCAACTTTGAGATTCCATGAGAATAGAACTAAAAAGACAACTACCGTATGTCCCAGATATTTCACTCCTAGGCATATACCTAGAGAACGACACACTCTATCACAGAGACATATACCTAGAGAACGACACACTCTATCACAGAGACATGTATAACACCACATTCACTACTGCTTGACTCACTGTAACATGGAAATGGAATCAACCTAATGGATGACGTTTTAATAAAAATCGGGTAAATTCATTAAAATTCATAATGTGGAGTACTATTCAAATCTTAAGAAAAAGTAAATTAAAAAATTTTCAGAAAAATACATAGATTT